GCCCTTCCTGGGCTTCGGGACGCTTAGGAACGACTCGGGAGGAAAAGCTGGTCCCCGGGAAGGAGTCCAGACTTCTGAGGGGCACGTCGCGAAAAGGAATCACGACGTCGGGGGTTTGGGAACCCAATCTCACCACCCAAGGATTTCTCAGGGGGGAGGTGGGGTTCCCTTCGCTCGGGACCTCCCGAGCGAAGCGAAGCCCACCTCCCCCCTCCGAAATCGTGGAGTGGCGGGGTAGGGAGGGAGAGGAGGGAGAGGAGGGAGAGGAGGGAGAGGAGGGAGAGGAGGGAGAGGAGGGAGAGGAGGGAGAGGAGGGCGAGGAGGGAGAGGAGGGAGAGGAGCGCGTGTGGCCTCCCAGGCCCCGAGAGCCGGCGCTCCAGGAAGGCATCTGAGCGGGCCGTGTCTCTGGCTCTCTTCGGCCCGCGGGGGGCCCTCGCTGGATCCGGCGCTCCCAGCACAAGCATCGGAGTGGGGTGCAGGCTTCCGGGGCCCACGTCTCGAGCGAAGTGGAGCAGCCGCCCTCCCCTCCCCTCCCCCTCCCCTCCCCTTCCCTCCCCTCCCCTCCCCTCCCTCCCCTCCCCTCCCCTCCCCTCCCGTCTGGGGAGGGGCTCAGACCTCCCGCGGCGGGCGCCGAAGGTAGACGCTGAAAGTACCTCTGGGGCGCCCACGGGGCGGGGGTCGAAGCGGCAAGGTGTGCGTTTGTGCAGGCCTTGAACTGCGGACGGAGCTCAGCGTCCTGGCGCGAGAGGGTCTGCGTTTGTGCAGGCCTTGAACTGCGGACGGAGCTCAGCGTCCTGGCGCGAGCGGCCGAAATGATGAGGCTAGTGCTGCTGATGATGCTGATGATGGTTATGCTGACGATGGTGATGATGATGCTGCTGATGATAATGGTGATGGTGGTGTTGATGATAATGGTGATGGTGATGATGATGATGCTGATGATGCTGATGCTGACGCTGATGCTCATGCTGATGCAGATGATGCTGATTCTAGTGATGATGTTTTTGATGATGATGCTGCTGCTGCTGATGATGCTGATGATGACGATGACGATGATGATGCTGGTGGTGATGATGATGCTGATGATGCTGCTGATGATGATGATGTTTATTAATGACATTAGTATTAGTTTTTAGTTTTATGTCAGTACATATGATTATGATTATTGTTATCATTGTATGTTTATTATATTTATGGTTATTCGTATTATTAGTATCCGTATTATTATGACTAGTAGTAGTAGTAGTAGTAGTAGTAGTAGTAGTAATCGTCGTCGTAGTAGTAGTAGTAGTAGTCGTAGTAGTAGTAGTAGTCGTAGTAGTAGTAGTAGTAGTAGTAGTAGTAGTAGTAGTAGAGTAGTAGTAGTAGTAGTAGTAGTAGTAGTAGTAGTAGTAGTAGTAGTAGTAGTAGTAGTAGTAGTAGTAGTAGTAGTAGTAGTAGTAGTAGTAGTAGTAGTAGTAGTAGTAGTAGTAGTAGTAGTAGTAGTAGTAGTAGTAGTAGTAGTAGTAGTAGTAGTAGTAGTAGTAGTAGTAGTAGTAGTAGTAGTAGTAGTAGTAGTAATAGGTAGTAGTAGTATTAGTAGTAGTAGTAGTAGTAGTAGTAGTAGTAGTAGTAGTAGTAGTAGTAGTAGTAGTAGTAGTAGTAGTAGTATCATCGTTATGATTCTTACTACTATTTGTAGTTTGATCTTGATTTTGATTGTGATGCTGATTCTAGTTGCGTGGATTGCTTAGGAGGAGCATTCGCAGGACGCCAGGAATTGCGGTAGCCAGGCTGCCCAAAGAACGGAACGAGTCGGTCTGCAGACTCAGAGGGTTCGGCACCTTGTGCCACAGCCGTGCCGCGCCCCGCGCCCTGGCAGTCGGGCCAGGCGCCCCCCCCCTCTCAGACCTCACCCCCCTCGAGGTGGGATGGAGGATCGAGTTCAGGGTCCTTGGACATTTTCTTTGCTCCTCCCGTAGCCTCTGCGGGCCTCCCGGGGCTTCTCTTCGGAGGCCCCCCGCGCGGCCTGGCGGCCACGCCGTCGGGTCAGGGGAGCCACCGGGTTTCTGAGGCGTGGGCTGTTCTCCGAGGATCAGGGCCTTTTGGATGGTGCCCGAGTAGACGGGGTCGGAGGCTCGCGCCGCATCGCCGAGGCATCGCGGATGCGGCTCGATGCAGGGCCCGATTTGCTTCACGTCGACGTCGCCTTTGCATCGCCGACGTCGACGATGCGTCGCCGGTGCATCCCTGATGCATCGCCGATGCATCGGCGATGCGGCGCGATCCTTCGACCCCATCTACTCCGACTCCATCTAGGCGGCCTCTAGAGGATCGGGTCGGACGCGAGGGGGGGCCAGGGGGAGGGGAGGGGGGGCACGAAAACGGCTGCACGCAGCTGGTTTCGGCCTCGCCGCCAGGCGTCCTGCACACACTGGCGCCTCCGAGGCCAGGGCGGCGCCACGAGGATCAGCCACGGCAGCTGATTAGTGGACCCCCAGTTTACAACACTGCTCCTTCGCCCGACCTGAGAGGACGTCTCCAGCTCCTGTGGCCTCCAAGTGTCTCAAAGACGCGTCGGGTGGTCGGCCATCCAGAGAGGCCTTCGGGGTGTCGGCGCCCTCGGGTGGTCTGTCCTCTGGGGTTCTAGGACTCCTGAGCTTCCTCCTGGTCGAGAGGCGCCCGTGCGTCTCCACGGGCGCATGGGGGGCCCACAGTCGATAGAGCTCACCACCCACCAAACCACCCCAACCCAACCCGAAGACCTCAATTTGCCCTCCATTTCCAGTTGGGGGGGGTCTGGGGACATCGAAAAAACACATGTGGAACCCTTACCCCCCCCAACCCGAAATTCGGGTCTTCGGGTTGGGTTGGGGTGGTCTGGTAGGTAGTCAAGAGCGCCCATCTTGCCGAGCCGATTCGCGAAGTGCTCTTCTCCGATCGGCGACATCGCGAGAGGGTGCTGCGGCCTTTCTTTTCGAAGGCCTGCGCCCACCGGGGTCTGGTCCAAGCTGGTTTTCACGGCAGGATCTGCATGGCCTGCGAGCTCTCTGGCAGTTCCGCGGCCGCCTCCGCCTCCCGCCTCGCCCCTCCTTTTTTACCTTCGCCGTGCTGAGCTGCGGACGCGTCCTGCCGTCAGCTCGACCGCTGCTTTGACCCACGCCGCAGACCGCACGTTTTGCTGAGGGGGCTTCTGTCCACCTCCGGCCGGGGGGGGGGTGCTGGGGCCGCACGGCCTGTGAAGAGCAATGGGCCCGCAATGGGAGCAGCACGGCGAAGGCAGTCGACGCGCGCATCGTCGTGGGCGTGTGCCCCAACCACTGAGCGCGGGCGCTCCCGTGCGGAGGCAGCGCTGCCTCGGGGCACCGGACCGCGCGCGCATTGCATCGGGACGCAGACGGGTAAACATGATAGCACACAGTTCCGAAAACACAGCACGGAACACCGAACAGGTAGTAGAGGTGCAGGGTAGTATTCGGATCCCTCCACCTCCTCGGACCCCTCTTCCTTCCCACGTCAATCGGGCGCAGCTTCGCACTCTCGGCGTGCACAGGGCAGGGGCAGCCTTGCTGCTGAGCCTTGGCAGTGCGGCCTCTCGCTGCTGCAACGATGCAGCGTGTGCCTGCTGCAAGCGCGACGTCTCCTGGGTGCAGCCTGTATGTTTTGATTCTGCACATCGCTGGGTCGTCGCAGATACATCCTCTCGCCATGACCAGTGCAGCGTCTGGGCGCTTGGCGTGCGTTGGGTGCGCTGTGACGCTAGACCTCCCAGAAAGGGTCCGAACAAAGAGGGTCGTAGAGTCGCGCCGATGCACCGCCGACGTTGCCGATGCATCGCCAATGCATCGTCGATGCATCGGCGATGCGGCGCGATCCTCCGACACCATCCACTCCGACCCCATTCAGGAGGCCTCTAGTTTCGGGGGTCGTGGCTCCTCCAATGTTCTGCCGGATTGGACCGGCCCCAAGATCGGCGTCACCCCAACATACTAATGTTACGTGTGCGTCGCCCCGCCAGGGGCGACGCGCGCACCGAAAAACCTTATAGTATATGCGTCGTGGCGGGCGCGTTCTGGTCGTACCGCTCGGGAAACAATACATGATAATTCTTATGTGCTATATGTTCGGGTCGGACGCACGACTCCGAGGAGGAAACATAGTACTAGTATGACCTTGTGCGTCCCACCAAGAAGTAAGTCGCCAGATGGGTAGATCGCACCAGGTGCAGCACGCAAGCTGGCTGCTTCGAGCCAGGGAGCGCTCCGCAGCGCCATGGGAGTCCAGAGACCGGGTGGCGGAGTCGCTTCGGCAGGTGGTAACGAGTCGAGCCTGCTCGAGGCAAGCGCCGAGCACGAGATGTCTGGCTCGCAGATCGGCGGCGAGCGAGGGGGGGTAAGGGAGAATGAGAAGGCCTTCTCGGAAGGCTCGGAGGACCCCCGGACTTCCGAGAAGTTCCTTGAGCCTTCCCCGAAGACAAATCGTATTTCCCAGAAGGCGCGAGGGCTTCTGAGAAGTCCCGCCGCCTTCTGAGAAGGCCTTCTCCTTCTCACTTCCCCCCCTCGCCTTATGATGTTCCAACCTACTTTACCCTTGATCACCAGAAATAATTTCGAGCACCAAGAAAATACATACATTTGAGGGTTTCTACGTGTCGGGCCCTGGGAGGCGATCCTCGTTCGACACCGTTTCGATATTCTTCGGGCTGCTCGAAATTACTTTTGGGAGGCGGCCCTCAAGTACGATGGGAGCAACATGACCCTCCCTCGCCGCCGAGCAGAGCGTCGGCGCAGGGTGGCTGGGTGGCGCGGCGGACGCTGGCATTATCCCGGGGCTCTGCAGGAGCTCTGGCTTTCGGGCCGCGCTCCAGGTCTCGGCCCGGGGGGCCTGCTCGTGGCCGAGGCTCGCCGTGGCCAGAGACGGCCCCCTCCTTCCTGCTGTCCCGCGCTCCTCGCGGGAGAGCGCGCCGACTGCGCACGGCCCCCCCGGCCACCTGCCTGTCCTGCCTGCCCGCCCCGCAGGAGATGCAGTTCAACATCGCCACGTGCTGCTTCGACAGGAGCACCCGCATCTTCGACATGCGCGACAAGAGCGTTTCGGCGTGCCTCCAGCTGCACAACGACGACGTCATCGGCGGGGCGGGGACGCGCTACATAGAGCCCAGGGTCTCCTCGGGTTCTCGGCTCGAAGATCGAGGCACCAGGTTTTGAAATGGTTGGGGGCCTCTACGTGGCTGTTCGTGGCCACGGCTGGAACCGCCTTGGAATCACGGCCAGAAAGCACCCCTCTGGACAGGCCCAGAAGTCGATGTCTGACCCTGGGTCCCAGACCTCCTCGCGTCATCAGACATGTTAGCGGAATGTGTTTGGCAGCTGTCCCTCCGCGGCCACCTCGTCTGTCCTCTCCCCGCTCTTGCACGCTGGCCAATTCGTTTCTCGATGCCCCTGTTTAGCTCTATCGCTGGTGCAGCCAACTCTGCCTCGCCGCCGACGAAGAAGAAGTGTTTGCCAGCTGTCGACTTCTGGGGGCCCCTGTGGGGCCCTGGGGCCGTTCACCAGCCGGCGCTCGGGACGAGGAGCCGGTCACGGGAGGTCCGGGGCAGACAAGGGCTCAGGTTCTCGCCGGGGGCCCCCTATCGTGCAGAGCTCGCAGCGTCGGGGGGAGGTCTGGGGATCGGGCGACGGCCCTCTTGGGCCGAGAAGGGCCGAGCTTCCTTGGCAGCGGCCCGTCGACCCTGCTCGTCGCTAGGCACGGCGAGAGGCGTGAACGAGCGGCGGCTCGCCCCCCCCCTCCCCCCGCGCCCCACCCCGGGAGGGGGAGGATGAGGAGGGAAGGGGGGTGAGGAGGAGGAGGAGGAGGAGGAGGAGGAGGAGGAGGAGGAGGAGGGGAGGGAGGAGGAGGAGGAGAGGAGGAGGAGGAGGAGGAGGAGGAGGAGGAGGAGGAGGAGGGAGGAGGAGGGAGGAGGAGGAGGAGGAGGAGGTGGCAGGCCTTGGCGCGCCCCGCGCGCCAGGCCCGCGTGCCGCCTCGCCGGGGCACCGCCGCTAGAACGCAAGAACGCGCGAGTGCTTGGAGGGCAGGGCCCGTCTAAACCGCGGGTTAGGCGCCGGGCGACCACCTCGCGGGGCCCAGCCGGGCCGGTGCTGGGCCTAGGGTCGGCGAGGTGGGCAGTCGACTTCCCAGACCCCTTCTCGTGCTGTAAAAAATCATCACGACGGGAGGTTTATCGCTATTTTCGAGCTTCCGGGGCCCTTCCCGGGCCTCGGGACCGTCAAAAAGCGCCTCAGGATGAAAAATAGTTCCCCCGAAAGGGGTCCAGACTTCTGAAGGGGCACGTCATGAAAAAATCATGTCGTCGGGGGTCTCGGTTGGGGGATGACCGGCAATGGAGCTCGCTCAAGGGTGGGCGCCGATTCTGGGCCAGGAGCCTGCTGCAGTCGTGCTCGGCCCCAGTCGGGGGCTCCAGGCAGCTTGTTGATGTCGCAGAGGCAGGGGGCGCCTGCATCCACCAGCGCCGGTGGCGACCGCCGGCTGGCTCCCTCTTGTCGCCAGTATACGTCACGAGGAGGCCACTGGTTTGCGCCCGTCCCGTTCGGATCCTCATGCAGGCGCGTGCGTGCGCTCTCCGCTGGCCAGCGGGGTGGGCGGGCACGGCCGTCCCCCTTGCCACCACCCCTGCTGCTGCTGCTGCTGCCCCTCCAGAGGGCGCCAACTGTACACCGCCGGTCCTGGCCAGCCCGATCCCGAGCCTGGGGTCGGAGCGCACGACTCCTCGGGCAAGCCAGGCAGGCGGGTGCACCGATGTTCGGCACAGGAAGGGCCCTGGCCAGGATCGGTGCAGTGCATGTGCACAGTGGAGGAGGAGGAGGAGGAGGAGGAGGAGGAGGAGGAGGAGGAGGAGGAGGAGGAGGAGGAGGAGGAGGAGGAGGAGGAGGAGGAGGAGGAGGAGGAGAGGAGAGAGGAGGCGGGAGGAGGAGGAGGAGAGGAGAGGAGGAGGAGGAGGGAGGAGGAGGAGGAGGAGGAGGAGGGAGGAGGAGGAGGAGGAGGAGGAGGAGTAGGCGGAGGAGGCTGAAGAGAAGGGAGGGGGAGTAGACCTTTTGGGAGCCTCTTGGGGTCTCCTGGGAGCTTCCTGGGAGCCTCTTGGAAGCCTCTTGGTGGTCTCCTTCGGCCTCTTGGGTGCCTTTGGGGGCTTGCTCGGGGCCTCTTTGGATGTCTGAGGGAGTTCGCGGGCCGTCTGACGCAGTCGGGCCGTCTGACGCCGTCGGGAGTCATCTCAGCGGCCTCTCTGCAACGTCTTGGGGCTCTCTTCGGGCGCTTCACGGCCGTCCTGGAGGCCATCTTGGCCGTCATGGAAGCTTCTCAGGCCTTCGTCGGCTCCCCTCTGGGCCGTCTTCGGGGCGTCTTGGGCAGTCCAGGGGCCATATTGGAGGCCTCTTGGGCGCTCTGGGGGCGATCTTTGGGGCCTCTTGGGTCATCGTCTTGGGCCGTCGGGAGGCCGAAAAGAAGCAAATGCCAACATCTGGCACACACCGAAGTAACAATGATTTGGATCACTTTGGGGCTGTCTTGGGGTCCTCTTGGAGCCTATGGGGCCATCCTGGGGCCATCTTGGAGGCTGCTTGGGCCATCATTGTTCCCCCGAGTGTTGAGAAAGGTGAGAACGCAAGCATCTTCAACGCCCATCGGGAAATTAATGTTATTGGCTTCTGGAGCAGCTCTTAGGAGGCCCCCTTGGAGCGTCTTGGGGGCCTCTCGGGCCCTCTTGGGGCCATCTTGGACCGTCTTGGGGCCGTCTGGAGGCCATCTTGAGCCGTCTTCAAGCCCTCCTGGACCCCAAGCGGCCCGTAGGTTGTCATACGTTTTGAGCCCTGGAAGGGTCTTCCACCTTTGGGTTTATGGATGTGGCGTGATTCTTGTGTGTGTGTGTGCCTTTTCCCCTGGGGCACGGTCCGCTCTGGACGCCCCTGACAGTCTGGTTCTGGCTCGCGCCACCGCAGGGATGCCTTGCAGGCCATCCGCGACCTCGGCATCCACGGCGCTTGGCCGCCGCCTGTTTTCCCCAGCCTGACACTCGCTCTGTGTCCACTCCGTCCCCCTCTTCTGAGGTGGTCCCACGCTGGCCTCCCGGACTCCCTCGTAGGTCACTTGCGACCTCGGCCCCCGTGAGCTCCTCGCTCGCCTCCTTCGCTGCCCGCCGCCCCCCTCCGCGCTGCCGCCCCCGCCCCCCCGGGCCGCCCTGCCCCGTCTGGGCGGCTCTGGCAGTCTGGTCCGGCTCGCTCCGCCTCCAGGCTGGGTAGTCGAAGGCCAGACTGTCAGACTGGATTGGGCCCCAAGGGCCAGTCTGGCCTGGCCAAACTGGATGATTTGGGTCATTCGCCAGACTGGATTCGCGTGGGCTCCCTCGCCAGATTGCCCCCGTTTGCCAGATTGGGCCTGCCAGATTGGCGCCAGATTGGCTTCGACTACCCAGCCAGGGGTGCCTTGCTGGCAACTTGCAGGTCATCCGCGACCTCGGCATCCACGGTGCATGTCCGGGACCCATTCCTCCACGGGCCAGCGTCCGTGCGCCGGCTCAGTCCGCCCGCCTCCCTGCCTGGATGTCAGGCCGGGCGCCTTGCAGGTCTCGTGCGCCTCGGCTCCCCCGGGCGCTGCTGCACCGCCTTCGCCCCCAGCTCCTGCTGGGCCTTCCGCCCCCCCCTGGGCGCTTGCCTCCGGCGACCGCCCCTGCTGCCGAATTCCCCCCCAGCTGCTGCCTCGCCGCCGCTGGCCCAACCCCCGGCGCCCCTCGCGCCTCCTGCCGGCCCCCCTCGGACCCAGACCCCCTCGAGTCATGAAAAAATCACGACGGCAGGTTTTTCGCTATTTTCGGCCTCTGGGGACCCTTACCGGCCCTCAGGACCGTCAAAAAACGACTCGGGATGAAAAACCGGTCCCGGGGAATGTGTCCAGACCTCTGGGGGTCGCGTCATGAAAAAATCATGACGTCGGGGGTCTGGGGAGCGGGCTCGGCTCCTCCCTCCCCCGTGCACTGCGGCTTAATTCGCGCTTCGTGCATCCCGCTTACGCCCCATCGCCAGCGCAGTGACTCTGCCTAGCCGCCGACGGAAACAACAACTGTGTGTGTGTGCATATTTGGGGTCGAGAGCATTACATTCTTCCATGCAGTGAAACAGTACAGTCTATAGTATAGTGTGATGTGTAGCAGTCATGGAAAAGTTGGATGTGCGGGATACGCTGCGCTAAGGCTTCCGCTCCGCTCTGCGACCTGCCTCCGGCACCACGTTCCTTCCGGACGGATTCTACAGGCTTGTGCCACATCCGCCGATTCTGTCGCATGATTTCGCCACCTCTGTGTGGATCTAGGTCTGGAGGATGTCCTGCAGGAAGAGGGGGGGGGTCACGTGAGTTGTCCCGCCACCGTGCCTGGGTTGTGGGTCAGAGGCGTCTTGGATGCTTTTTGGGGTCCTGAGGGGGGCGATTGAGGGGGCCGGCGGCGAGCCCAGGTGGGAAGAGCGAGGGGGCGGGCCTTCTCAGAGTGCAGCGGGGCTTCTCAGAAGCCCTCGCGTCTTCTGAGAAGTCTTCCAAGCCCTCTCCCCAAGACGCACAAGCCTCCTCAGAAGGCACGAAGGGTTCTGAGAAGCCCCGCCGCCTCCCGAGAAGGCCTACCCCCTCTCGCTTCCCCCCTGGGCTCGCTGTCGAGGGGTG